TCTCTAATTGCTAGTTTTTATGATTGTATCTGAAATTGTTAGGCGAAAATAGCCTGCATGCCGAATTTCAGATCTCTAGAGAAATCAGAAGTGGGCTAATTTTCGTTGTCAATGTTAACAACAAACAAACGCGATGCTGAGTAAAGAAAAACGTGTTAATAATAAAAACTAGAAATGAAATATATATCATAAGTCACAGATATTCTCTGTAATCAAGAATATATTATTCAGGCTAAAAAGCCGGGAAAATGGTTACAAAGTCCAATGCTTAGCTCATGGGCCTATTTACTTCAATGCCGACACTTCTATTCTATTCCAAATCAAGAGTTTCGTTAAGCTGTCCTTGTTGCATATTTCATGAATTTATTGTTTCATCAAATGAATATGTATTATCATAATCAAATACCATTTATTTATCAAAATCTCTCATGACCTCAAGCAGACTTGTGCGGTAAGCATTCACAGCGTTAGTCAATTTCGCTGAACTAGTAAGGTAAGTCATATTCTTCCTGGTACTTAGAAAACGACGGGTCTGAATGAGGGACTACTGCAGTCAGGAGTCGTGCAATGCTGCTTTGAAAGTTATTCCACGAAACTTCAGTCATTCTTTTTGCATTGAGATCAGTCGTGCTCGACCGTTGAAGCCTCCCCCTACTCCTACCTTCCCTCCCTGCATCCTGATCGCCTGAACTTCACCCGCCGGCGCGTCGGTTAGTTTTTCTTTCATTTAATCTTGGGCTTCTTGATGCTTTTGAGCTGCAGTGGCCACCACAATGAACTGTTGCAGACTCTTTCGTACTTGTGAAGGGTATTGAAAGTGTGATGAAGGCGGTACAGATGATGCTATCACCACGCCAGACCTCAATGCTCAGAGGAAGACGGAGAGGAAGGATTGCATCGAATGAAGCATTGTATACAATTTTGAGGTGGCAGTACGTTTGTAATTCAAATACTATTCAGTTCACTTTAATTGAGGTATATATTAATCATTTTTCAATTAAATGATTATGTTAAATCAATGAAAAGGCCGTCGTTTTCGTCATCTATCTGCATTTTTTCTCTTTATATGGAAAAATATAAATCTGGAGAATCGAATCTCGATGTTTTATTTAATCATTGTAAAAATTTAACCACAAATGATCAAAAGATAAATGCTCACATTGAGAATACGATTCGGATAATAATTATTATCTGATTTTGAATTCAAAATACGTTCATCTTTAATAGATTTATTGACCAGATAATTTACTGAAAACTTTCCTGTTGCGTGTTCATATGAATGGGTTGTAGAACTTTGCCACAGCAGCACAAGCGGCGCAGACACGATGCATTACACCCCAGCCGTTCTCTAAACACTTACGATGACCGTATATTCTTATGTGATCGCGTATCTTGCCTGTTCGCTATACACGATCCTGTATTACAGGATCGTACTGACAAACCTGTTCGTAATATCAATGGATATGTCAGTTGTTATGGTCATGGTTGAATTCAATCATGGTTATGGTTGTCTCGTTGTGGTGACTAGGTCAAGCTAACGCATTGTCGTGGAAACGTTCTTCTCAGAATGGTTTAGCCTTTAGGTTGGAAAAGGAACACCTCACTTGAACGATAAATGAAAATCTCGGAAATAGCATCGGTTTAATGTGCAAAGTTTTATATGAAACAATGTGTACAGCGGACAAAGTTGTACATTGATCGCACAAGAATCGACGAGTTGCCATCAACTCTGGATAATTAGTAACTAGTGAAGGGAGAAAGAAATGAGTTAGGTAGTCATGACTCGGAGCAGGCCATTGCTTCGACATGTTGTAGGCTACTCGCATTGCTTTTATGTGATGAGGCAGTTACATCAAATAGTCTGAAAATTATCTTCGTAAGATAATCTTATGAATTATATGTTTACTTCGATGGATTCCGTCTTTCTTTTTTAACGACTATCGACGAAACAAATAGTTTTCTAGCAGCCCGCGAAATTTGTTAATGGGAAGAAGTGGACACGACAGGCGACAGTAAAGAATTGAATCGAGTTGAAACTTGCAAATAAAAAAAAAAATAATCCGGCGATCAAATGAAAATCTCATAAAACTTCGAGCTCTCCATATGCATGTCATCTCAAGTTCTCAACTGCTCGCCCCGACTTTAGGGAGTCTAGCTTGCTATTTGCTAATTAGCGTCGCTGCAGTGGCTACTGGCTCCCACACCCAAACTCAAAGCAAGTGAAGAATGCCTTACTTAACTTTACCTGTCAGATTAAGGAGACATTAGGTTGCAGATAGACGAATGTTGTGAAAGAAGCCTCCCTGTCTTAAATATTCGTATCAAGGACGTCATTGACGACGATGGAAAAATCGTCTGAAAGCCCGTCGCAAGAGTAATGCATTTGAGCAATCTATACTCGTGTAGTCTCGCTAGTCGGGAGTTGCCGTAGTAAGCAGGGTTGCCAAAAGGCAAAAAAAACGGCCAAATGCGCGGAAAAAAGGCCAAAAATCCCTCTATCACAATATATACTAGTATATTTGTAGGTTCCGGTGTAAAAATTTAATTTTCTTTTTTTGTTCACTCATTTAAAATTTGATAAGGAAGCAGCGCCATCATAAATTTTAGCCAGTCAACGCACTTTAAAAAAGTAATCGAGGAATTTGTCTGGAAAAAGACAATCTGGCAACTCTGGCTAGTAAGCCTGTATTGCATTCATGTAAATTCCAGTAATCGAGTGTTATAGTTTCTATGTTCATTGTAACAGAATTGCAAAGATGAATCAACTCTGCAAATAAATTGAAACCATTAGCATCAAAGACTCTGCAGTACAATCAGTGATATGTCAAATTGGTGTACGCGATGCCTGGGAGAGACCGGCGGACTTAATGTCGCCGCCTATGCACGGCATTGCAGCTCTTCCGCGAATGTGACGAGAAATGCTCATGCTGGCGGATGTGCGAGGGCCGGCTGAAACGAGAATGGCGTCGTGAAGAGTGCGAGTGGATTGCCTCGAGAGGCGGTCATAACCGGTGTATAATTGGGACTTGCAAGATTATAATGAATGATTAAGAAATGGATGGGGAAAGACATAGAGGTGACTCATATTAATGTAAGAACTTGTGAGCGCTTTTAAGGTTGATTAGAGTGAAGAACTGTCGCTAATTCTATAGAGAATTTATTTATCAAAGAATCGATGTATAAAATTCGTCAATGATTATGTTGCCATACAAAAAGGCTGAAATGAAACAAAAATGATCCTCGGGACAATGATAAATTTCTAATCCCTATCTGGCGCGATTATATCGTATGTTCTATGTTGTTTTGGATATCTAACCGTCAATAAGACACGTATAAAGGAAGACAAACAGTAATTTAAAAACTATTCAATTTACGATCGCTTTTGCAGTATTGAACCGTTCTGATTAATTTTCTTAAAGGGGCCTTGTGGCTGACCTCATAAAGAAAAATGAGTCTCGGCTAAGGAAACCTTTTGTTATTTTATAACTGAACGTTGGGAATAAATCTATAGTTGAACGTTCATAAACGTTTTTTAGAAAGAGTAGGTGGCATCTGTGCGAGCTACCAGCTGGGGCTTATATAGAGAGGATCGGTCGTCGGGTGGCAGTCACTTTGCAATGAGTTCGCCGAGTGAGGTGATGGAGCTGCGTAGCGGCCAAGGTGGCAACGACGCAGGGGAAGATGTTCAGTTCATTCAACCTTCTCACTCCTCTGTGTATGAAACTAAATATCAAAAATCTCTGAGGCACTACCTCACTAGAGAAGCCCTTCCTAAAGAGTCTAATTACAGAAATTTAGAATCAATCGTCGATGGTTCTGAACGACAGCGTCCAACGTTGGATGAACTGCACGATTCCACGTACCACGGACATTATGTGAGTATTGATTGATCTGCGTTGCGTGTAAAGCTCGGCACCTGCTTTGACTAACGAACTATGCGCAGTATTTACCGAGCCACTCAACACAGATTGTTTACTATCTCATTTCGCTTGGACTCGTTCTCTGCAGAAAAAACGTTTGTTTACATTCATGGCGGTGATAGCGGCAAACATTTTGCCGACGATATTACCACAACGAATCCATAAGCATGCGATGCAGTAGCCATGAACGAAACTTCAGCAAACTTTTAAATTATTTTGTGTAAAATTCATCAAAACCATCTATGTTCTGCTTCTTTGATGTTTTTTGTTATTCGATTCTCGACTTTACATTTTTTTGTGATGTGGCCTTCGTCTCTGTATTGTATTCAAACCCTTTCTTCATTATTCGTGCAATGCAAAGCTTTTGAACAATTTTCAGAAACTAATGAGTTAACTAATTGGTTAATTTTTTATTCATGGAGCTATATATTCATTATAATGAATTTAACGAACGTCGAAGTATTGAATGAAGGTAACGACCGCCAAATGTATTTGGACGTTATTCATTTAGAATCTGTCTTGTTACGATGATTGTTGATGACAATGTTTTTTGGTAATTGATCGCATTCTGGTGTAAACGATCGTTTATTCTGCACTCGAAACTCATTACCATCTCTTGTGTAAGTATGCTGTGTAATGCTACAAATTTGAATAAGTCAGCAACATGTATTGTTTGTGTTAACTCTGTGTGCGTGATGAATATACAAGCGATCTATTGCATGAGCTGCCATTGTTGACGATGTCGTCATACGATGTGTTATTCATACAGCGACCAATTGCCAATTAAACACTTATTAATAATGCCCTCGACGAGCAGCAGTTATTCATTGGGATGTGGTAACGCTGGCGTTGACAAGTTATAAACTCTGGCAGGAGTTTGCTTACATAGCAATAAATAATAAATATAATAAATAAATATAATAATAAATAAATATAATAATAAATTCAATAAATTCTATGCTTACATAGCATAGACTGGGCAGGGTGGCCCAGTGGTTACAGTTCAGAGT